GGTTTGGTGCCTCCTGCATGTGTGCTAATTGCTAAACGTAAAGACATCAGGTATATGGACATACTAGGCTGCTTGGCTACTGGTGGTTGTCCCCTGGAATTATTGTTTCCATGGCAAATATTCACGTCGACAGAAAGTGTGAAGAACTATGTAGCATATATAATACATGGACCTGATAACGATTCTACAACATGACGTCAAAGAAGGCCACAATATGGCTATAATAATAAGTCTAAAACAAGGCCTTAATAATAAGTCTAAAAAAGGCCTTAATAATAAGTCTAAAACAAGGCCTTAATAATAAGTCTAAACAAGGCCTTAATAATAAGTCTAAAACAAGGCCTTAATGATAAGTCTAAAACAAGGCCTTAATAATAAGTCTAAAACAAGGCCTTAATAATAAGTCTAAAACAAGGCCTTAATAATAAGTCTAAAACAAGGCCTTAATAATAAGTCTAAAACAAGGCCTTAATAATAAGTCTAAAACAAGGCCTTAATAATAAGTCTAAAACAAGGCCTTAATAATAAGTCTAAAACAAGGCCTTAATAATAAGTCTAAAACAAGGCCTTAATAATAAGTCTAAAACAAGGCCTTAATAATAAGTCTAAACAAGGCCTTAATAATAAGTCTAAACAAGGCCTTAATAATAAGTCTAAATCAAGGCCTTAATGATAAGCCTAAAACAAGGCCTTAATGATAAGCCCTAAAACAAGGCCTTAATGATAGAAGCCTAAAACAAGGCCTTAATGATAAGCCTAAAACAAGGCCTTAATAATAAGTCTAAAACAAGGCCTTAATAATAAGAAGTCTAAACAAGGCCTTAATGATAAGTCTAAATCAAGGCCTTAATGATAAGTTTAAAACAAGGCCTTAATGATAAGTTTAAAACAAGGCCTTAATAATAAGTCTAAACAAGGCCTTACTAATAGAAGTCTAAATCAAGGCCTTAATGATAAGTCTAAAAAAGCCTAAAACAAGGCCTTAATGATAAGTCTAAAACAAGGCCTTAATAATAAGTCTAAACAAGGCCTTAATAATAAGTCTAAAACAAGGCCTTAATAATAAGTCTAAACAAGGCCTTAATAATAAGTCTAAATCAAGGCCTTAATAATAAGTCTAAAACAAGGCCTTAATAATAAGTCTAAAACAAGGCCTTAATAATAAGTCTAAACAAGGCCTTAATAATAAGTCTAAATCAAGGCCTTAATAATAAGTTCTAAAACAAGGCCTTAATGATAAGTCTAAAACAAGGCCTTAATAATAAGTCTAAACAAGGCCTTACTAATAGAAGTCTAAATCAAGGCCTTAAGATAAGTCTAAAACAAGGCCTTAATGATAAGCCTAAAACAAGGCCTTAATGATAAGTCTAAAACAAGGCCTTTAATAAGTCTAAAATCAAGGCCTTAAGATCTAAACAAGGCCTTAATAATAAGTCTCTTAATAATAAAAACAAGGCCTTAATAAGTCTAAAACAAGCCTTAAAATAATAAAGGCCTTAATGATAAGTCTAAAACAAGGCCTTAAGTCTAAAACAAGGCCTTAATAATAAGTCTAAAACAAGGCCTTAATAATAAGTCTAAAACAAGGCCTTAATGATAAGTCTAAAACAAGGCCTTAATAATAAGTCTAAAACAAGGTAATAATAAAATCTGAAAAGGCCTTAATAATAAGTCTAAAACAAGGCCTTAATGATAAGTCTAAAACAAGGCCTAATAATAAGTCTAAAACAAGGCCTTAATAATAAGTCTAAACAAGGCCTTAATAATAAGTCTAAAACAAGGCCTTAATGATAAGTCTAAAACAAGGCCTTAATGATAAGTCTAAAACAAGGCCTTAATGATAAGTCTAAAACAAGGCCTTAATAATAAGTCTAAAACAAGGCCTTAATGATAAGTCTAAAACAAGGCCTTAATGATAAGTCTAAAACAAGGCCTTAATGATAAGTCTAAAACAAGGCCTTAATGATAAGTCTAAAACAAGGCCTTAATGATAAGTCTAAAACAAGGCCTTAATGATAAGTCTAAAACAAGACCTTAATGATAAATCTAAAACATGGCTTCATGAACAAGCCTGAAACATGGTCTCACTGACAAGTCTAAAATAAGGCCATAATGACATGTCTCTAACATGGCCTTCATAATTAGTCTAAATCATGACTAATTAACCATTCTAAAGGTGGCCTTGCTAACAAGTCTAAAGCAACGCATTTATAATACGTCTAAAGCCCTGAAAACAAGCGTTTAACATGACTTTCATAGCATGACTAAAAGAAGGCTTTTTCTAAAACAGACAGTATACGCCTAACTAATAAGTCTAAAGCACTGCTATATTAACAAGTATTAAACATGGCCTTATCACGAATATCTTGTTTTACCGCTGATGGAAGGTATTCATGTATTTGAGCAACACACGCTCTGGACTGATACACAAAACAGGTTCCCATCAAAGGAGGACGAAGAATTGAAATCAACCTTGCTCATCTTAACATATGTCACACACCATGTGAATAATAAATACCGATGTTCACAAGATTAGAACGACTACTAAGTTGAAACGGTAGATCCCAGCTGTGTTTATATTCTGGTTTAAGCTGCATGGAATATTGAATATCAAGCTCATGATACAGTGTCACCATGAATAATTGCATTAAGACCGGATTGATCCGTACAAAGCTGGAAAACATCACACCTTAAAACTACATACGAATGCATACGGGAATATACAGCCTTGGAAGTGTCTGTCAATTGTCGGGAACAATTTGGAATAGTATACCTGTCATCCATGTCACAATGACTTATATGGGTTTCTCCAATACATTAATAACTAATTCATCAGCACCTGCATTCATTTTCCACAAATGTGTGTTGTATTCTGCTATTGTCTGGCACACTCGACATCTGTTGGCGTCTTCTACTAATGTCTGACGTCTACTGCCATTGCTAGAAGTCTTCTACTCAGGTCTGACGTCTTCTATTACTGTCTGACGTCTGCTACCATTGCTAGAAGTCTTCCACTCTGGTCTGGCGTCTTTTATTATTGTCTGACGTCTTCTGCTATTGCATAACGTCTTCTGCTATTGTCTGACGTCTGCTAAAATTGCTATAAGTCTTCTACTCAGGTCTGACGTCTTCTATTATTGTATGACGTCTTCTACTATTGTCTGATGCCGGCTACCATTGCTACAATTCTTCTACTCAGGTCAGACGTCTTCTACTATTGTATGACGACTTCTACTATTGTATGACGACTTCTAATATTGTCTGACATCTGATACTATTGTCTGACGTCTTCTACTATTATCTGACGTCTTCTACTATTGTCTTTTGTCCTTTACTATTGTCTGCTGTTATGTACTATTATCTGAGGTCGTCTACTATTGTCTGACGTCTCCTACTATTGTCTGACGTCTTCTACTATTGTCTTTTGTCCTTTACTATTGTCTGCTGTCATGTACTATTATCTGAGGTCATCTACTATTGTCTGACGTCTCCTACTATTGTCTTCTGTCCTACACTTTTGTCTGACGTCTCCTACTATTGTCTTCAGTCCTCTACTATTGTCCGACGTCTTCCTCAATTGTCTCAACACCATCACACACCTACACGCACCTCCACACACCTTCACAAATCTTTACAAACCTTAACAAACCTTCAATGTGTTAAGCGGTTGTATTCTGCTATTGTCTGGCACACTCGACATCTGTTGGCGTCTTCTACTAATGTCTGACGTCTGCTGCCATTGCTAGAAGTCTTCTACTCAGGTCTTACGTCTTCTATTACTGTCTGACGTCTGCTACCATTGCTAGAAGTCTTCCACTCTGGTCTGGCGCCTTTTATTATTGTCTGACGTCTTCTGCAATTGCATAACGTCTTCTGCTATTGTCTGGCGTCTGCTAAAATTGCTATAAGTCTTCTACTCAGGTCTGACGTCTTCTATTATTGTATGACGTCTTCTACTATTGTCTGATGCCGGCTACCATTGCTACAATTCTTCTACTCAGGTCTGACGTTTTCTACTATTGTATGACGACTTCTACGTCTTCTACTATTGTCTGACATCTGTCTGTCTGACGTGACGTCTTTACTATTGTCTGTCCTTTACTATTGTCTCTGTTATGTACTATTATCTGAGACTATTGTCTGACGTCTTCTACTGTCTTTTGTCTGACTATTGTCTGCTGTCTACTATTATTGTCTACTACTGTCTGACGTCTCCTACTATTGTCTTCTGTCCTACACTTTTGTCTGACGTCTCCTACTATTGTCTTCAGTCCTCTACTATTGTCCGACGTCTTCCTCAATTGTCTCAACACCATCACACACCTACACGCACCTTCACACACCTTCACAAATCTTTACAAACCTTAACAAACCTTCAATGTGTTAAGCGGTGAGGTAGACCAGCGGGTTAGGCCAATGAAATTTGATTTACCATATGTTTTGGGGTGTTTTTTTTCACCTTTCGATTTCGTAAGTTTAAACCTCATTAAAGCGTCACCGTCTAAAGAATCCAAATATAGCTGAAACGTTATTATAATTTTGATTAACAAAACGATTTGCCATTCCGCGTCTAGACATGGTTTCAGCAAAACCATAAAAGCGGCAAATATTCTTACACTCTTACAAGTTGTCATGAAGCGAAGCCTTGAGACACGAACCCACTTCATAATTACCAATGAACACTGGCTTGTAATTAGAACGGGTATTGATTACCTCTGTGCTCGTCAGGTAGCGTGGCATGACTTGTAGTTGAAAGTTAAGAACAAACGCAGTGAGACCATTGAACACAACGACGTCTATGTCGTTCCTGACGGGGCGTAATTGTTGGAAGAGTATGTCATTAAGACAGCAGCCACGGACTTACTGGCACCTTGCAGAAAATTGTTAACCGGTGAATAGACGCAAATCTTGAGGGATAGGGATACTTCTCACTACAAAGGCGAAGATTTGTGCAAATTAGCATGCATGTGGCTTGCAGTCATTGCATTAGTAGCTTTAACCGCCTCCTCCTCCTCCTTATCATTGTCCTCGTCCTCCTCCTCATCCTCCTCCTTATCATTGTCCTCGTCCTCGTCCTCCTCCTCCTTATCATTGTCCTCGTCGTCCTCCTCCTCTTCCTCCTTATCATTGTCCTCCTCCTCCTCCTTATCATTGTCCTCGTCCTCCTCCTCCTCTTCCTTATCATTGTCCTCGTCCTCTTCCTCCTCCTCCTCATCCTCCTCTTCCTCCTCCTCCTCTTCATCATCATCCTCCTCCTCATCATCATCACCATCATCACCATCATTATCACCAACCTCCTCCTCCTCGTCCTCCTCCTCCTCATCATCATTATCATCATCATCTTCGTAGTCGTCGTCATCATCATTAGTAGCAGCAGCAGCATTGTCATTATTAACACACTTGCAAACAGTGGAATCTATTTTTGTTTTGATAGTCCACTCATTGATCTCTACAATCCTCGACTTATCTCAATGGCAGCATCGTTTAAACAACATATGACCAAAGGGCACCTTCTTCAGCGGAATCTCCAAGTTATCGGCAGGATGAAGAACACTCTCAAGTAGTTGTTTTACCGAAAAAAAGGAAAACAATTGGAAAAAGCAATTTTGTTTCAGACAGATGGCGCATGTTGGTATTTTAGATAGTCTTTTTTAAGACTGACTCTTGTTAAAACCACGACTTGCAATAGAACCATTCCAAACTGCGATCTACAGATGCTCAAGTCCACCGTGCAAATCCGGTGTATAGTCGGTCGTCAGCGATCAATGACTGTCACAAGATGCAACTGACGGGATTGTGTGGTCAGGCATGCTGATTCAGTCAAAACTGATGACAAATTTGATGGAATACTTAATGTCAGAATTCACGACAGAACTGATGAAAAATTGATGGACTACTTAATGTCAGAACTAATGATAAATTGATGGAATACTTAATCTCAGAACTGATAACAGAACCGATGACAAATTTGATGGAATACTTAATGTCAGAACTGATGACAAATTTGATGGAATAGTTAATGTCAGAGCTGATGACAAAAAAATGATGGAATACTTAATGTCAGAAGTGATGACAAAATTGATGAAATACTTAATGTCAGAACTGATGACAAAATTGATGGAATATTCAATGTCAGAACTGATGATGGAACTGATGACATAGTGCTGAAATAACTGATGTAATAACTAGGATATAAAACAACTGATGACAGGACTGAACAAATGATGACATAACTGATGACAAAATGATGACATAACTGATGACAAAATGATGCAATTCTGCTAAAGTATTTGATGTAATATGAAATGATAAAACTATCATAACCAGATAACTGGACAAACAACAATGACATAACTGATGACTAGTGGTGGTCCCATTTATTGAAATAATCGAAGATTGGTCGTAGTGAATGAACGACCAAGCAATCGATCATGTTTTCTCATAATCGAACACAAACAATTCTGGAACACTTGTTTGCATTAACAATATTTTTCACTTGGTTGGTTTTATCTATTACATTTCATAAGCACTACAAGCTTGTTCCAAGTCGTGATTGAATTCATCTTAAAAACACCAAGAAATTTATGTTCCTAACATACTAGTCATCCTTTAAAGATGTGAAATTTTGCCAAAAACACCCCACAAATAACATGATTTTTTCCTTATATTTTTGTGCATTAACAAATTTCATAAATGACGCTAACCAATTATTTTCGATGATTGATCGGCGGTAATGAACCAATCATCAATTATGAGATTTTAACCAATTCCAACACTACTGATGACACGACTGAAAAACTGATGACATATCATATGAAAAAACTGAAGGAATAACTGATGATAATAATGATGACAAAACTGATAGCAAAGTGATAACATAACTGACAGGTACATGAGGGTCGGAAAAATACCGTGACATGTAAAGCATCAAATACATGTATATCCTTATAGAGACCTTTGACAAGTGGCATCATGGAAAGTGGTTCAAAGTGTGCCCAGTTTTCGTTTGTTTTTATTTATTAGTGGCACAATATCAATAATTTTCCTCCTTCATGTCCATAGTTTCAATAATATTTAGTAAAAGCAACGCCCACTGCCATTTCCAAATTTGAGAAAATGCCCGAAAATATTGTTTAATCTTTAATCAGTCTAAATATTCATTACAAAAAGGAAAATGTGTTTTAACCCGCTTTTAGCACTTTTTCTGACATTGTACATGCTATTCTAAGAAATCATCCTTCCATATTCAGAGACATAAGTGTTTGACACACGCACGGAAAAACGAACGACGCAAAAATATGTGCGCAGAAACGCACGAAAAACACAAACCAAAGCCGCACGCACGCAAACCTCATTCCACCCTAAAAGTCAACTATAACACATTATACCCTTAAGGAGCTGACGATGGCAGGAATTACCCGGATAAAATACAATGATCAATTCAATTCTTGCGGTCACATTAATCAATGTTCCCGCCAGCATTATATTATCGCCCGAACGCACCCATCATGTCAATCGACACAGAGCATATCAAGATGTCGTTGTTTCAGCACCTGTAAGGAATGGCTTCAATTATGGATTGGCGTGTGTTGACCTCGAACACCGTGTCCTGATGGAAGCGACAAGCCTATAAAAATTCCGATAATATTGAACATCGAAGGTAGACGAATGCAAAAAGGCCCGGCACACATTCGTCAAGTCAAATCTGTTAACGCTGCTATCCAGCCAGGAAGTATTAAGGGAGGCCGATATTTGCCGATAGTTGCCTTACAACATAAGAATGTTGATAATTGCTGCACTTCGATTGCTTTTGCTTTGATTCCGGATTTTTTTCGCCGATTCGATTTTTTTATCTTTTCGAGCGCGAAACTGGATTTAAACGAAAAGGAATTTTGTAACTATTTCTGATGCGTGTAATGGGATATGGTGCGAAAACAAATTTGGGATTCGAACACACTATTGGCAATCACTGCAGATTGTAGTGTCTTAAACGACATTGTCATGAAAATCTCCGGCCCGAGGAATGCATGAACACTATCCGCCAAACGCGATTCACGTCAACAGAAGTACTATTGTCCGGCTAAACCCTGTGGGCAGTTTAGGAAGCCGTGGTCAGAGACGGATCGACTGCGGTCAGTTAATCAGTGGACCACCGCACACTTTCTCAAATCAGTGAGAACGCTGACAGCTCTCTTCAGCACCCCTATCTTTTAATTGCGTAGCTAAGGGGCGATAACTCTAGGTCGTTGCTAAGACTTGTTCAAGGAAAGAATTTTCACCAAGGAGGCATCCGTGCGACAACTATTATATTTCAGGAGTGAGAATCTTTGTTACACTTCAAGTGATAGTTTCTGTTGTTTTGTTGTTGCTTGTTGTTTTACGCTCCACTGGTCATTCAGGTTATCCATGGCGGTGGTTTGTAAATAATAAAGTCTGGACCAGCCAATCCTGTGATTGACATAACGAGCATTGGTCACTCAGGAAACGATGACCTGATCTCGTAGATCTCCTCCCACGACAAGCATGGGTTGATGAAGACAAAGTCTAACCGGATCTTCACATGTCGAACATTTTTAAACACGACTATGCATTGCACGACGTTCTTTAAAAAATATACAAATCACAGACATAAAATTGAGGAAACAATATTTGTTAACGCAAGATCATTTAAAAATCATGAGAGCATGTCTGCTTGAAACGCGAGGGGAAAGAAATACCTACGACCACAAGGTTCTGGTTACAGTAAGGGAGGCAACTCCGCACGACGATTCCCGTGCTCTTAATACATCCATTGTGTTATTTTGATATTTGTGTCAGTAAGCTGTGGCACATTGGACACAAAACACTTAAACGAACGCTGTTAGATGTGTTCCAGATTATATTGGTGTGGCATTTAATCCGATTTCTGAACAGAATGTCAGGTTCCGTGCTGCCCTGCAGAGGTTCGCGGGGATGTTATTGTGAGATTATCCTGAATAGCAACGGAAAACTACAAAAATGAAGGCAATTGGTTTCACGTCTCAGGAAGAAATGAACAGTTACGATAAATGTCACAAAGATGAAGAGGGCGAGTGGGCGTTGGTTTACGCGTCTCACGACCAAATTATGGCAATAGGGTTTGGAGTGAGAGCACCGGGGTTTCCTAAATGAAATCCATGTCTCAATACAAAAAAATTGGGAATCAAACCCAAATTATCATCGTGAAGAGAAAATACTTTACGTCCTGTGGTGTCAGTTTGTTCCATAGAAGCACAGAAATTGGTCTTGTGAATAAATGAATGTTGTTTTACGTAACAGCTCTGATCTTCAGGTTATATCATGGCGGTCAGTAAATATGGGACGCTGGACCAGACAATCCAGTGGGTGACATCAAGAACATCGACCTAAGGCCTCTGGATGACCTCATTGACAAGGTCACATTTAACCACTCGATACGCATAAGCAGCTTGATACAATGTGAGTTAGAATGAATGAGTTTAGTTTTACGCCGATTTTAGCAATATTCCAGCAATATCATGGTGGGGGACACCAGAAATTGGCTTCACATATTGTAGACATGTGGGGAATCGAACCCGGGCCTTCGGTGTGACGAGCGAACGATTTAACAACCAGGCTACCCTACCGCCCCACGGAAGTTAGAGAGTTAGATGGGACCTATTATGCCACGGAACTCACACGACTTTTACATGATGACGGAGGCGATGCTGATGAAGTCGTTGCCACAGATGACGATAGAAATAGCGGTGATAACGAATTTTTCACTTAGAGTATCTACTCGTTTCAATAAAATAAAATAATGATGAAAAATTATCTGTACTCACTTTAACTATTTTAATAACAGAACACACTGAAAAAAACGTTTTTCAAAGTTACGTCATTGGCTATGTTATGAAGCAGAAAAGTATGTAAATGCATGTATATTGTTCTCTAACTTGAAACTTATGTTTAGACGACTGCGTACATGGAGCAATAACTAGAATCAATTTACGTACGTGTCTGTATCTCATGAATATAATGTCAATCATTTCCTGCATGCTTCACTCTTTGTAAAGACTTCGACTATAACCCTTTACTTTTCTGGCATTTCCGCAAAAATATTGTTATTATTGATGTGATAAAACAAATACCATGCTGAATTAATATGATATAAATATAACACCTCCCGGACTCCGTTTACAAAGCGATCGTAACGCTACGACTGTCGTAACTTCCTTAGTTTAGCGCCAGACTTACGACAGTCGTAATGCTACGATTGCTTCGTAAAATGGAGCAAAGGTCCGTTTCACGAAGAAGGCGTGGCGCTAAAGTAATCGTAACCATACTAAAACACAGACTTACGTCTGTCGTAGCGCTACGATCGATTGTGAAACGGAGTAAAGGGAGTGATCGTAACTCTACGGAAGGTGTTAAGTCTTTGTAAAAGCATACAGTGACTCTTTTGTAAGAATGTATTTGTAGGTATCTGTTGAATGAATAAGCATTCTTTTCAAAAGAATCACCCATTCCCTTCTTGTGCACTGTCAGTTTGATAGCAATACTTCTCTGAATCTCAAGAATAATGATAAAACATCCATTTCCTAGCGTTTCAGATAACAGGATGTACTTGATTCATGCCGATCTTAACTTTACGTGGTCTTTTAATTCCAAGTTCTAGGAAACACCCACACGTTTGGCATTGAGGAAGTGTGTAAAGAGCGAAGGACGCAGAAATCATGTCGTAATCCCGCTCTCGTGGTGTGTAATCCTCTTTGACGTAATTCGATTACTTTAAATGGAGCAATGCACAGTCGCCAATAGGATTTATTTGACAAAGCCGATATGACATAAGACGTGTTATATTGACCTGAAGTCCGTTCTATGCTTTAACTTGGACTTACGACCTTTCGTAGAGATACGATCACTTCTCGCACTCCGTTTTACGAAGTGATCGTGACGCTACGACTGTTGTAAGATCGATGATTTAAGGCAGATTCATGTGTCAGTCTTAATGCTACGACTGTTTCGTAAAATGGAGCCTAGGTCCTTTTCACAAAGAAGTCGTGGCGCTAAAGTGATCGTAACATATACTAAAATACAGACTTAGGTCTGTCGTATCGCTACGTTCGATTTGTGGAACGGAAATCCAGGAAGTGATTGTAGTTCTAAGAAACGTCGAATGTCTATGTTGCGAAACAAAGCCATTAACGCAAGTGAATCGCATTGCGGAAATTGAGCATTTAGCGAGACATATTGCTGAGATGAGTTCGTAAAACTAGACCGCTTAACTGAAACGGTGGAGACCACCTGTACAGTGTACGAACACGTGTACAATGTACACACACGAAAAAGGTTCCTCATCACTGATTTTGGAGATAGTGTAGGAATAACAGACAGCTTAACTTGACAAATGCACAGAAGCAACTGCATATCGTAAGTTAATTCGTTTTCACTTTACTTACTGTATTAAAATTATTTAAATGGTTGGATAATTCCCTTGTTTAAATTAAATTAAATTAAATTAAATTAACTAAATATTAAAATTAAATTAAAATTAAAAATTAAATTAAAATATATTAATATTAAACGTGCGTCATCATCCCATAGTCACCCGCATCACTTCCTTATCCAAGAATAAATATTTTGATTCAATTCTGTCTGCATACATACAACTAGCAATGTTATAGTGGCAATTATTTCAACACGAGACAAATACCCGCTTCATGAATACTGAAACGAGAAACGCTGACGTGTCACCTTCGTCAATACGTCGGTAATTAAACCTAAACATCGCCCACCTTTGCAAATAAACGCTGATAAAGGTTAAACATGTACACCGAATATATAGCAAGCGGGCTGACAGGCAAGGTCGATATTCATTTTCTGACAACCGTCAAACATAGGCCTCGAATCTTTCACGAGACTTTAGCTCAATAACTTCATCGTAACGTTTATTTTTATTATCCGGTTAACAACCCGCCATGTTTCAGAATGTAAAGAGATAATTGCAATCAGCTTGGGACAAGTTCGGAGTAGAGACTGAACATTTAAGTAATTGCTACATCTTGTGAATACTAAAAATAAATTAACTACCGGGACGTACTTTCTGTTTATGCGTAATATTTAATTTAATTTTCGATCGACAAATATCACTTCAGTTGCATACATGAGGGAAAAACAATCTAAACTGGAGATGGAAACTGGAAAATAATAAAGGAACGCTTGATTTCCCCGTGTTCCTTTATTTGTTTCTCTCAGTATATAACATGGTACGGAGGTAGCTCGAAGGGATGGTGAGTTCCTTTTCGACCAGTTATATCACTGCCTGTGGGTGAGTGAGGGTGGGTGCGTGAGTGAGTGAGGTTTTACGCCGCTTTTACCAACATTCGAACAATAGCACGGCGGTGGACACCAGAAATGGGCTTCACACTTTGTACCTATGTGGGGAATCGAACCCGGTCTTGAACGTGACGAACGGACGTTTTAACCATTAGGCTAAACCACCACCACCATCCCACAACACTCCCCCCTCACGGCCTGAAGGCTTGAAAGTAGGAAAATCCGACACGTCACCGACGTTTATCAATTTGGTGAGATACATTAGTATGTATACTGGAAAGCTTAAACGCCATTGTTTCCTGAAAGATAACAATTTGGACTAAACAATACCAACAAATCTTGAAAATGTGCAATATTTTAATTTACAAAATGACACGAAAACATCAACAATGTTTTGTCAACAAAATGTATCCCTATGTACAACAATGGGGCTGCAGAGTTCACACATGGGAGAGGTGAGTGTCTCTCAGTCTGAAAATGTTCTCTGTCATCTTCAGACAACAAATCACTTGAAAAATGTTAATAACGTGCATATCCACCTTGTGCACGGATAACTGCTCTGACCCTCCTCCTCATGCTTGTAGTGAGTCTCCGGATTCGCTCCAGCGGCAGCTGCCGCCACTCCCGGCGCAAAGCTGCGTCCAAACATGCCAGGTCTTGCACAGGCGGACCCAGTGCTTGCACTCGAGGTACAAGAATGCCCCAGGCAGGCTCCAATGGGTTCAGATCCGGGCTCAAGGCAGGCCATGGAAGTTTGGTTACAGTGTTGTTGGAAAAACACTGTCACAAGTCGGGAACGATGTGGTCGGGCGTTGTCATCCATAAATACAGAGCGAGTAGCTAATGGGTGGTTGTCAAAATGTGGCACAAGAACAGGATCCAGAATATCCCGGATGTCGTGGTCGCCACTGAGATTTCCACGAACAGTTGCCAAGTCCAGTTTACAATCATGGGAGAGACAACCCCAGACCATGACAGATCCACCACCGTAAGGAATTGATGCTCTGACATTCTTAGGCTCATCGGCACTGTTCTTGGTCCTCCAGACTCACTCAATAAAAAGTGACTCTCATCCGACCAAGGCACCTTCCAATGCACCTTCCAAATGAGCTCTCTTGTGAAGATTGGTCAAGGCTGGACTCATCCCATGTGCCTTTATGCGGTTTCTTATAGACTTAATGCACAGACGTCTGTTGGGGAGCCATAGGTGCTTCAGGACGCCATTTGTAGTGAAAGGCTGACGTCTCACAAGGCTTGCTAAATCCCGATCCTCAACTTGAGACGTCTTTCGGGGTTGACGTGGCCTTCGTCAGTCCTTAACCTTGTTGGTTTGACGGTGTTTTTGAACACGTTGACTTATGACGGTGTAGTGAATGTCAAACTGTCGCCCAATAGCCCTTCATAACATCCCGGTGTCGTGCATTCCAATAATTTGCCATCTTCTTGCTTCTGGTAGTCTCCTTCTTGCCACTGTACATAACATATACTGATAAAATCATTAAAAAGTTTTGGCTTTTTATACAGTTAACCGCATTGAGTTAATAGGTTGTTTTTTTAGACAATCGTGGGTAGTGTGCTTTAACTGCATATTGGGATGTTGTTTTGACGATTGACTTAGCAAAACCGATTAAAGTTGGGAATACAGTTCAAATAATAGTCATCGTAACAATTCAAGATTGAATATTCGATAAGTCAGTAACATAAAATATGTTAGGATGTGCTTAATTAAGTTCCATGTGTAAATATATATAGCACATCAGAGAAAAAAGGTGAGGTGAGGTGAGGTGAAATTGGGTTTAACGTCGTGCTTGAGAATATTTCGCTCATATGACGACGTGCGTGCGTGTGTATGTGTATGTGCGGCTGCTTGTACTGGCCCAGACTGAAGCTGGTTTTATAGTGCTAGCCCACTGAGATACCATGCCGCAGTGAAGCATGAATACCCCACTCAGACACATTATACTGACTCCGAGCCGACCAGTCCTTGTTGTACCCATTAATGCCGAGCGCCAGGCAGGGACCAACAAGTACCATATTTTAACGTCTTTTGGTATGGCGCGGTCGGGGATCGAACCCGCGACCTTCCGCTCTCCGGGGGGACACTCTAACCACTACACCACGGAGGCGGTCCAGAGAAAAAAAGAATAACCACTCTTGACTATCCCGACAAATAAATTCTGTTAGGTGTAAAGGCAAGAATACATGAATGCATAATTTACATGAATAGATAGCAGAACACCCGTGATGACACCAGGTGTTCGCGACATATCCTGCCCTGAATCCAAAAACAAACAATAGGGATTCCAACCCACCATCAAAGCCTTCCGGAGTGTCCAAAGGACGCAACTCTGCACATAATACTTGAAAATGCCCAGAGAAAGGTTTGAATGGACAATTGTGAGGACTTCCCTGAAGTATTTCGTTACTCTTGACCCGTGAAGACCCGGTAAGAATTAATCTTCAGTAACTCATGCTTGTCGTAAGAGGCGACTAACGGGATCGGGTGGTCAGGCTCGCTGACTTGGTTGACACATGTCATCGTATCCCAATTGCGTAGTTCGATGCTCATGTTGTTGATCACTGGATTGTCTGGTCTAGACTCGATTTTTTACATACCGTCGCCATATGGCTGGAATATTGCTGAGTTCGGCGTAAAACTAAACTCACACACTCCGTCGTTAATCTTGATATGACATATTCAGGATTTTTATACACGCATGTATTATATTCAGTACATTATTAGTTTGTTAAACTTGATATGATGTATTGTGCAGTAAACACGCGTATCTATCATGTTTAATGCATAATCGCTTTGTTAAGCTTGATATGATATATTTCATATTTAGTTAACCGTATCGATATTATTACTGCATTATAACTAAACATGAAGTTGATATGATATATTCCTTGTTTAATACACTCATGCAATAACATATTTAAACCACTAACATTTTGTTACACGCGATATGATCTATTACTTCTTTCACACACGCAACTGTTATATTTATTTAATGCGTTATGAATTTGTAAAACTTGATATGATATATTGATATTAAATACAATTAGCCATTATTTCTGACGCATATGCTGCTTAACTTGATATGATGCATTGCGAAATACAGGTATATGTATATATATACATGTATGTGCCAGTAGTGTGTATAATTACCTTCGTTTATTCAAATGAAAATTGCCTTGGCACTGTAGGTCACGTGATAGCGGCCATTTTGAACATTGATTTATGGCTTGTTGAACGAATATGGGGATCCTTATTTTAGTAAACATGCATGCATACATTGATGAAGTGGTTTCAGAGGGACGATTAATATGTACACATTTGATGAAGGAGAGTCGGTGTACGAGCTATAAATAGGCGCCACATTCTGTGCATGCAGATAACCATGGCGGTAAAGCGGTGTCCGATTTTTTATCAAAGTGCACTAATCAGACTATCCTCTTAACCCAAATGTCTACAATAACAAACCACTTCAACCATTTCGTATTTATTCTCGTTATAGCCATAACAAATATATCGTCATTTGACGCTCTGAATATAAAATGTAAAAAAACTACTCTCATTTTTTTTACGGATTTGAAAGTTGAACGTTCTACTAAAAGTTTGTAAAAACGTAATGTGTAACTTGGCTTTTTATGCAAAAATGAATTAGTTCCGCGAAGAATAGCGCAAGAGATGGATTTGCACCTATATGACCCCTACCGTATTTTAAACGTAAAGTTTAAATTTGTGCCGAAAATAAAGAAAGTTTATAAAGTGTCTAAGATACCAACCAACATGAATAATTGTTCAGATTTTTGTTATGTTTAAATTGTTTTCAATCAAGTGAATTTTGAAAAAAATATAACAGTGTTGTACAACGTGCATGTTCGCTTTTTGGACAACATCGCTAATTTGAGGCTTTTATTTTGAGATGAGTAGTTTCTGTACAACTGGGTACATTCCACTTGAAAGTATAGTAATATCTGATCGATAATTAATGAAAATCAATCAGAATACATGAAACATGCATAGCTTTTATCGAAAGCCAAGTGTAACACTTGAAATAATGTTTAACCATTTTTTATGAGGTTTCATACTCCCCAACACCGCTACTGGTAAATATCCTTAACCAATATTGTTCGGCAGGTAGAGGAAATATTCTCAAATTATTATCATTGATTGTGTAAAGGTCAATATTTAGTTTTCAACTAATATGCTCATAGAAACGAATAAACACATGAAAGTACAAGTGTTCCTTTATTCTTTTCCAGGTTTTTGGATTACACTGTGAGTGGAATTCTCGAAAAGAGTAAAGGAACACTTGTTCTTTCATGTGTTCCTTTATTCGTTTCTATGAGTATATATATATATACAAACTTATACCATTCAAAAGATGACTGTCTGGTGGGGACATATTTTCACAACCAAATGATTGAAATGAGTATGTCTCGGTTTCACAAAACAAACACTCGTGTTAAACAAGTCTTGCTTCAGGTGTGTTTACTTTAATTTAAACATAAACACACGGTTCCTCCGCACCTTGCACCTGCCACATGTTGGTTTCGTATATTTAATCGTCAAACGCCATGTCACACTTTAAACTCGAATTTGATGTTATTGCCAAAGCTACCGCCTAAAATCAACTTAAACTTTAAAGAGTTAAAAAATCTAAAACTTAAATAGGCGTAAAGAAACGTAAAGAGGTCATGACGCAAAAAAAAAAGGAATAAAATGTCCGTATCTCTTTCAGAAGGTATTTTCTGGTTAGAATGAAGCAAACATTCTGCTAACCATCCTTCGACTACTGAGATGTGCGTCAGTGGTATCGCCAGAAGGGGCTGAAAAAGACATAACCTTTCGCCGCCAGGCGATTTGACATCAATTAGTCGGCCTCATTATAATGTAGCTCCCCGTGAACTAACTTGCAATAACCCTATTTTGTATCCTTTAATGAGCAGTGTTAGACTGCTTATGGGGACATCGTATCGGTATGGTTTGCTTTTATTACCATCTCTGCGGTCCGGCTTTCGTAGCTGCGAGTCTGATTTAGTTATTTTTTTCTGCGGGCCTGTTCTCCTTTGCTGCGGGACTATACAACTCCGCCATTTGCCTGCTTAAAAGTGACAACCACAAGCTATTGCCTATAATTCCAAAATACTGCAAATTGGTAGGGTTCAATTTATTGTAACTATGGCAATATGCCATTTTCCGAGCTTAATTGTGTCCTGGCAAAGCTTAGTGATTAGACTGCAAATTGCCTCCGAGAAAGCCATCCCACTTCGCTTGATGTGAAAAGGAACAAGCGATGACACTACTTCAGATTGATATAAAGTTAAGCAGGGCAAAGTAAAAGACGGATTCCCAGCGAAACGAAATAAAGTGTAATGGGTGATGTTGCTTTCCTCCATGGCTCCTCTAAACTCGAGGAATATCGAAATAGAACGGCTCGTGAAGTAGAAATTTGTTATTTTCATGGCTTTGTACTTTGAATCCCTCCCGTCTGATACTGACTGGTGCACAACAAAGCGAGAATAATGTAGGCAATTTGCTGGGATGATGCAGTGAAATGCTATTTTTAGCAATATCTGATTCCATCAGCGTTTCGGACATCCAGAAAGACAGAATCTCAGTAACGGTCACATACACTCTTAGTAACGGTCACATACACTCTTAGTAACGGTCACATACACTCTTAGTAACGGTCACACCTACTCACAGCTACGTCACACACACTTACGGATGCACATACG